TTTCTTTCTTTCTTTCTTTCTTTCTTTCTTTCTTTCTTTCTTTCTTTCCTTCCTTCCTTCCTTCCTTCCTTCCTTCCTTCCTTCTTTCTTTCTTTCTTTTTCTTTCTTTCTTTCTTTTTCTTTTTCTTTCTTTCTCTCTCTCTCTCTCTTTCTTTCTTTCTTCCTTCCTTCCTTCCTTCCTTCCTTCCTTCCTTTCTTTCTTCTTTCTTTCTTTCTTTCCCTTCCTTCCTTCCTTCCTTCCTTCCTTCCTCCTTCCTCCCTCCCTCCCTCCCTCCCTCCCTCCCCGCACTGACTGTGCTCCTCCAGTGCACCAGGCATTGCATTAGCCCTGGGGATACAAAGGGCAGGGAGATGTGCCCTCACTTGCATGGCTCATCTAGGCTAGGAGGCCTCAGTTGGGAAAGTACATCATTCATTCATACTTTTATTAATTTCACATTTTTTGAAAATCTACTATGTGCCAGGCCCTGGGCAAGGCTCTGGGAAGGTCATAAGACACCATCCCTGCCCCAAGGAGTTTAGAGTCTTCTGGAGATAAAAGGCTCAAGAGTAGGCAAGTGAAACATGGCTAAAGCAGAAGGTTAGGGATAAGTGTTGGATGAATCTAACGTCTCCCTAAGCATCCGTAGGTCTAGGCACAGACTAAATATGTGCTCAATAAATATTTGGAAATCAGTGACCCAGATGTGGGGAAATTTCTAGATAACTTATGAGTTAAAGATTTCAGTCATTCTAGTAGGTATGGGTTAGTACCTAATTCTGGTTTTAATTTGCATATATCTGTTGTATCAATCTGATGATCGAATATCTTGTTATGTGTGCATTGCTATTCTTTGAGTCTACTTAGTTTCATTTGTGTATATGTCTATTCTTATTGTAGTATCACGTTGTCTTGATCATTGTACTTGTAATAATCTTGTACTTATAATAAATCTTCAAGGTAAAAAAATCAACTTACGAGTTAAAGAGTAAAGTTGTTTTAACAAAATGCCAATAAAAATGGTACCTAGGACAACAATAGGAAGCAGTCAAAATGGTTCTTAAAAGGAAATTTATGGTCTTCTGAGAATCGTATATTGAAAAAGAAGAAAGATGGAAAATTAAAGCATTCAACTCAGGAAGTTGGAAAATGATAAAAATAATAAATTCAGGGGGCACCTGGATGGCTCAGTTGGTTAAGTGTCTGCCTTCAGCTCAGGTCATGATCCCAGCGTCCTGGGATTGAGCCCCGCATCAGGCTCCGTGCTCAGCGGGGGGTCTGCTTCTTCTTCTCCCTCTGCCTCTCCCCCCCCCCCGCTCTTGCTCTCTCTCTCTCTCTCTCAAATAAATAAAATCTTAAAAAAAATAATTCAAAGAAAGTGGAAGGAAGGAAATAACAAATACGTTATATTTTTTGGCTATGAGATTCAGATTCGGATTAGTATTCAAGAAATTCATAAGTCAGAAATCCACAGAAAAAAAATAAGTAGAGAGTTGGTCTCAGTTCCAAGCCTCTCCTGGAGGGGAATGTGGATTTTCCATAAGTTTCTCCTGAGTTTTGAGAGCAGGGCCCATCCTGCAGGGGCCTCAGAAGAATGGACAAACTCTGAGCAGAAGTCTCAGAACTTCCAGACCCAGGGCCTGGCTGTACTGTGTCCTAAGAGAGCCAGCCCGAGGCCCAACTTGCCTGTATTTGGTATCCAAACTAGTGGGTTGTCTTTGATCCACAACATGTGCCTATCATAAAGGTAGCGATATTACCAATAATCCTTTACACTTGTTACAGTTCAGAGTGCTGGAAATGGGAGGTGTGGTATTCCTGATAGGAATGAACACAGCTATTTCATCAGATTCTCGAACACCCTATCAGATAGGTAGGGAAGGTCTATGCTCCATTTGGCAGATGAATACACTGAGACTCCGTTTGTCTGAGGTCTCAGTGAGTGGGTGAGTCAGGACACCAATGCTTCAAAGTCCCTTCTTTGCTCCCAAGCTTCCTGTCATTGAGACACTGGCTCTTTCTTCAGGCTAGCTAGCTCCTTGGTGCTCACTTAAAGCCCACTTCCTCCAAGAGGCCTGTGCTGATTCTCTGGTTTCCTGAACAAGCCGTTCTCTTCCCTGAACTTCTCCCTTGGTTAGGAAGATCCGGGCGGCTATCTTAGGTAGATGGCTTATCTCCCAACTTGACTGTGGGCTTCTTGAGGCAGAGGGGTGGGGTACAGTTGTAAGTGTCTTAGTGCAGGGCTGGGTTTGAGAAGATCCTCAGTCCTTGTTTGTTGATCTAGAATTTGGTTTGGCAGGATTAGACCTGTACCCATCAGAATATATTCTGGGCTGTGCCAACCCCCACGGTTCAGCAAAAGTGGTTGAGAAGGAACCTGCCACCAGGTGGGGAATCCCCCATGTCTGTGCTTGCCAAAGCGGCCACGTGGTGCCTGGACATGTCAGGAAGTGCTGGGAACATAGGTCCACACTGGGAAAATCTCCTTATAGGCTGGTGGGGCAGGAGACCTTTTTGTGTCCAAGTTGCATTGGTCTGAAAGTATAATTAAGTCCTTGGGCCCCTTCCCCCATAACTGGAGAATCCCCAAAGTTCTGCGGTCAACCTGTTTGACCAGTGACTGACCAATCCTGAGAGGAGAGACAAAAACACACAGCTTTATCCACGGACAAATCTCAGCACTTTATTCATCCCCTGGCAGGGAGAAGGGGGGCATTGCCCCAAGATAGCCAGCCAGGTGGAATGGCTGGGATATGTGTTGTCTACCCAGAGAGTAAATACAGCACTGATTAGGCAGAAACAGGAAGGGAAGCAATAAGTTAAAAGCCACATAAGTTACGAAAAATAATACATATACTTTATATATCTTGTATCCCCACTGAGGATTTGCTCCCTTGGAAACCAATAAATAGGCAGAGAAAGAGCAGCCATCAGCGCCCTTTTTGAGACTTCCGGGATGAGTATAAGTCCGAGTTCCCTCCAGCCTGAGCGTCATTAGCCCTTCAGCGCCCCCTACAGGCACGGAGGACCTTGAGGTCTTGCTGGGGCCAAGGCCTATGGGAAGGATGTCCTGGAAAGTGAGATGAAGGAATGGAAGACTGGGGCTAGCGGAGGAGTGAGGCAAGGGGCAGGGAGGGAGCAGGGAGGGAGCAGGGAGGGAAGGAAAGAGGGTGGGTGGTGGAGTGGGCGGCTGGAGCTGCCAGGACCCCCCGGCAAGCCCCAAAGGTGAGAGCCAAGACCAGGAAAGAGGAATGCTCCTCCCAGCACCAGATCTTCTCTTTGGAGGCAGAATTCCTTCTTGGTGGTCACTGGGGCTCCCCAGCCCAACCGGAAGGGCTCAGAAACTCCCAGACCTGCCTGGACTGTGCCTTCTTCATGGCCCCCGCTTGGGAGGCAGGGGCGTGGGTGTGGTGGGGAGAGGGGGCAGAAGGGGAAGAAAAGAAACAGCTCTAACCTCACAGGTGCAGGGTGTTCCTGGGCTCCTCAATAAATGCAAGGAAGGATGGAGGGGAGGGCCGGGCTGTTTGGCCTGACGGAGAGAGCAGGGACCCTGAGAGGTGGGATTCATGGGAAACGGCCCAGGGTTTGGTGCTGGGGGCGGGGCTGGGGGTCTCCCGGGCCTGGTCCACCACAGCCAGGTTTCAGGCTTGGGAAACACCTAGGTGTGGGGAGGGGGGTGTGGAGGGTGGGGGGCAGAGAGCTCGGATCCTGGGCAGGGTGGTGAATCCCAGGATGGCAGGGAGGGCCAAATTCCCCTGCCTAGTCTCAGGCTGCTATCTGGCCTCCCTCTCACAGGGGGTTTGTCATGGCAAGAATAGCTTCTGGAGAAGGAGCCAGGAGCTGGCTGTGCAGCCTGTCCAATTCTGACTGGCCCTCTGTGAGGGCCCCACAGGAGGACGGAAGTGGCACAGGTGTCTGGGCTGACCTCAGGGGTCCATGCTCAGGTCCCACACACCCGGGGAGCTTCCTCCCTTTACTCCCTAATACTGTCAGGTCTCTGGAGGTGCCCAGGTTGTGCAGGAAACCCAGGGGTGCTCAGCACTCAGTCTCCCCAGGAGCTCCAGATAGGGGGAGGGTGCCCAGGCAGTCCACCTCAGCCCTGGATCCATGGCTGGCTGGGGCTGGGTGAGCGAAGGCACCAGCCTCGGTCCTGAGGCAGAGGCAGAGGCAAGGTAGGGCTTGGTAAGTGAACTTAGGGCAAGGGTTGGGCGAAAAGGGTCAAAGTCAAAGGTTCCTTGGTGGGAGCCCTCTGTTTGGGGAGGAGCCTCAGAAGAGAAAGGAGGTGGAGAGAAAACTGACCCCCAGTTCCAGTTTACCCAGTCGGACCTCTGGCAAGAAGGTTAGAAGGGTAGGACTGAGGTATTGAGATGGAGCCGCATGATTCTTAGTAGCTGGTGACAGCCCTGTACTACCCCCAGCCACCCACAGAAAAGCTGTCCCGGTTTTGAACCCTCCCCCTTTCAGTTCAGGATCAGGTTTGCCTCCCCGCCCAACCCAGAGGTTCCAAGCTGCTTGCTTGAGTCTAGCCGAAGTCCCTCCAGCTGCAGGGGGACGACCTAGGCTCCTGGGCTCCAGCTGCCTTATTCTGAGACCTCTGACTCCTGCGACAGGAACTTCTCAGACATTTCGGTGATTTTGATCACAGGGCCTTTTCTGTTCTTCTTTTTCCGGGAGGGGGCTCTCGAAAGGCTAGACTTGGAGGCAGCTACAGGGAACATAAGGGGTGGGGCAGGGAAGGGGCTGGAGGTTGGGGGGGCCACTTAAAATGACGCCTTTAGGGTCATGATTGCCCGCACCATGTCCCCTTCCTCGCCATGGGTTTCTAGGGAAGTAGACTCACCGGTTCTGGACGTGGACTGCACCACGCTGACCATGGCGGCTGAAGGCAAGTCCATTCTGGGGGAGGACGGAAATGGGGGCATTTGAAGGGGTCCTGTGGCTCAAGCCCCCGCTGGGCCTGGGGGCCCTGGGGAATGGCAGGTGGAGGGCAGTTCTTGGTTGTTATTCCCAGCCCCGGGCTGCCCGGCTGTGTGACTTTGGCTAGCCAGTTTGTCCTCTCTGGGCCTCTGTTTCTTCTTCCCTGGACAAATGGCTAACATTTACAGAGCACTCAATTGTGACAGATATTTGCGTGCAGAATAGTATCCGTCCTCCCCACCATAGGCTGAGTTGTGATCAGCCCATTTTCCAGATAGCAAAACTGAGGATTTAATGAATGGGCCAAGGTCCCAGTTTGTAAGTGGCTGAGGCCGGACATGATCCCAGGTCTTCCTGGCTCACGGTATCCTGCTGGAGGTGGAGGCTGGCTTTGTGTGGGGCTGGCCCTCCGGTCCTGCCTTCCCGCAGCCCCACCCCGCTGGCCCCAGCCCTCACCGGCTCTCCTCGCCCTCCACCAGCTTGCGGTAGGTGGCGATCTCGATGTCCAGGGCCAGCTTGACGTTCATGAGCTCCTGATACTCGCGTAGCTGCCGGGCCATGTCCTGCTTGGCCTGGTTCAGGGCGGCCTCCAGCTGGGCCAGCTTGGCTTTGGCGTCCTGGAAGGCCAGCTCCCCCTGCTCCTCTGCCGCCTTGATGTTCTCCTCCAGCTTCAGGCACTGCAGAGGGAAGGGGTTCCATGAGCACTGGGGGGGAAGAAGAGAGTGGGCCAGGAGCCGGCCTCTGCCCTCCGTGGGGGTGTGCAGGGCAGGGAGGGCTGAGCAACAGTGTTCTTGGGTGTGGCAGGGGGTCGCCTTGCAGCAGGAGGGAGTTCAGTTAGACCTAAGGAGACCCCTTCCAGAGGCCATGAAAGAGGGAAGATGCACAGCACCCAGAGAAGCCTGTCCCAGCTGTTCTGACAGGGCAGCACCTCCTCCAAAGCGCTGGCTGGAAGATGGGCTTAGGCTTCCAGCCCCTTCTCGGTACTGTTGGCCCGAGGCCTGGGAGGGAGGAGGTGGGCTCTGGTGGTTTGTGGTGGTGGGGCTCTGTATTGTTCCCACAGCCCTGGCCAGTTTACAGACCACCTTCACCTGTGACGCTCATGTGGTCCTCACAGCCATCTTAGGAGGACAGGAGAGGAAACTGAGGCACAGAGCTGCTAAGTGACCTGCGCAGGGTCTTGCATGTAAGTGTGTGTGTGTGTGTGTGTGTGTGTGTGTGAGAGAGAGAGAGAGAGTGTGCCCTTGCGCTCCTCTCTGCCTCACCCCCAGGTGGGTCCTCCAGATACTCACATGACTCTTGATGGAGAGGATCTGGGATCGAAGCTTCTGGATGCGCACGTTGAGGTCAGTGATCTCGCTGCGGCTGCTCTGGAGGCTGTTCCCAAACTCAGCTGAGCAGGCAGCCCGCTCCTCCAGCTGGAGGACGTGCAGGAGGTGACAGTGAGGGACAGTTCACTGGGTCCCTCCCAGCACTCTTGCCCCTCGCCCCTTGCTGCTCCTTTTTTCTCTCACCTCCCAGCCCCTCCTCTTCCTCTGAAGCCCTACACTCGCAGGCCAGCCTCGCCCTCTGATGCCCACCATGCCCAGCTCTGGCTGGGCCCACCCCTGGCCTGGTGTTACTAGGTGGTGGCACCGCTGTGAGCTCCTGGAGGGCGCAGACCTTGGCCTTTCCCCCACCGTATGGCCCCTTGTCCCCCGCAGTGCTGGGCTCTCACATTCTCCGTCGCCCCATGCTCCCCACTGCCCTTTCACAGACTCTCAGTGCTCAGAGCTGAAGGTGACTTCAGCCTTCCCTGGGGCGGCGCCTCCTGGGCTGGCAGCCTCCTGCCCCCTTGGTCAGCCCCGCTCGGTCAGCCCCGAACCTGTCTCCGGGAGTAGGCCTCGGCTTCCTCCAGGCTGCGAGCCGCAATGGCGTCATACTGGACCTTCACCTCCTCCACGATGCCGCTCAGGTCGATGTGGCAGCGGCTGTCCATGCCCACGGTCACCGACACGTCCTTCACTTGGGCTGCCAGGTCCTTCAGCTCCTGGCCAGGCACAGACGTGGGGGCTCAGGGCTGGTGGGGGGGGCACCAGACCCTCAGCCAGCCATGGTCCCTGTGTCCCCAGGGGGAGTGGCCCTCTCTGTGTCCCAGAGAGATGACCCAATGATAAGGCCTCCCTGCCATGCACCCTCAGCTCTGACTCTCAGGAAGCAGTTGGCCACCCCTGCTCATCCACAGCTTGGCCTCCCTCTCTGGGTGGAGGGGACAGGGCAGTGAAGGGCTCCTGCTTCCAGAGGCTCACTACAAGCCTATTTATTTCTCTTCAGTGTTCCCACCTTTCCCAGGGCGGGACGCTTTCCTCCTGGCTGGTGTGGCAAAGGCCCAGGATGTCTGGCCCCTCTGCTCCATTATGGCTCAGTGGTGTGCAGCTCGGTCTCCCCCTCTGGGTGGGAGCTCCCCGAGGGTCTGGGGAGCCACTCTCCTCTCTGGGTTCCCCCGCATCCGGAAGTGAGCAGCTCAGTTTGCATATTGGAGTGGGAGCCCATGAGTGATGAGGGGCAGGAGTGGGGCTGTACTCCCTGCTCCCCTGCCAGGCGCAGAGGCCAAGGCGAGTTCAGGGTCACCCTGGAGGCTCGTTGCCCCTCTCCATCTGGCTGACCAGCTCGCCTGCAACAAGGCAATTTGGCCTCAATATTTTCATCTTCTCCCCATCCTTTAGGATCCCTCTTTCCTCCTCCTCTCTGTCCTTCTCTCTGCTTAGAAAATGCCAGCCCGCATCCTCAGAGAGCCCTGGAAGTGGTAAACATCTCATTTCCCCGGGGGACTCATTACAGGCCAGGCTCCTCGCCAGGCCCGCATGACCTCTAGCCCCAGGTTACAGAGAGGAAAGACGCGGCGGCGCGGAGGGGTTAGGGAGACAGCCGTGGGCGCAGAGCAGGCCCCCAGAGCCCTTGCTGCTCCCGTCAAGCTCCCCTAGAGGGGCAGAGACAGGAGCCGGAACCTGGGTCTGTCTTCCTAGCTCCAGCTTTTGGGCCTGAACGCTCAGGGGTGTGTAGAGAGGCAGGTGGGGACAAGGGTCTTCCTAAGGGGCTGCAGGTGTCACCTTTCAGTCCCTGGGCTGCTGCCCCTGGAGGTGCCAAACCACCCAGGCCTGGGCCGGGCTGGTGCGGGAAGGAGGAGCGAGGGGCTGTGGCCAGCACTGTACTGGCAGAGTGAGTCAGGTGGCAGGGAGGGGGCCAGGCACCCTGGGAGGCAGGGGTGGGGCTCACCTGGGGGAGGGAGGGTGTGGGGCACACAATTACTCCTACTGGTATTCACAGTTCACCCTGACCCTTACTTAAGTACTTCAGTCAGCAAGTTTTGGTCAGGGTTCCCATTTTTCTGATTGCTTCATATATGTGTGTGTATTTATACAGACCATATATGTATGTGGTTTTTCTTTTGTTTGTTTGCTTGAATCAGGATCCAAAGAAGATCCCTATTTTGCAATCGGTCCATATGTCTCTAAGTCTCTCTTATTCTACAGCTATGCCTCCATCTCTGTCTCTCTCTCTCTCCTTCTCTCTCTTCTTTGCTATTTTTTGTACTGAAAACACTGGGTTGCTCGTAGCACTGCCCACAGTCTGGACCTTACTGGCCGCACCGTGTGCTGGTGTGGAACCTGTTCTTCTGCCCCGTGCATGTCCTGAAACCTGGCAGCTGGGGCTGAGGCCTGCTCAGATCCAGGTTCAGTTTTTGTCTCATGACCGCATTCTGACCTTGGGTGCTAACTTTGGGCCCCCTCCTGACCCTCGGTCTGGCTTTATGCACAGAGTGGCTGTGGTTGGTTGAGCCTCTGGAGTCTGTAGCGGCCAAGGCTGGTGGTCTGACCCACAGCTTGTACCCTGTGGGGTGGGCTGGGTCAGCTAGAGCCCCAGGGGCGGCTGCGGAGTCCTGCTGAGGAAGGCCGCCCCTCCCCTGTCTGCTAGCTGCCTGACCCTGCCCGCCTGCATCCCTGGGGACAAGGATCGGCTCCTGCAAAAGGAAGCTTAAGGCAAAGACCTGCTGGGGGCAACCTGTTTCCATCCCGGAGCTGACAGGACTCTGAGCCTAGTGGCCAACTGCCCCTTAAGGACTCCTGATGAAGGATTTTGGTTGATCTTCAAAAGAACTTAGCAAACATCTCTGGGCAAAAGCAGGGGAAGGCCCGACCCCTTGGCAGAATAAGGTCGATGGTACCTACAGACTCATGTCCCACCTCTGCTGCTCGGATCACGCTTAGAGACTGACATTTCCCACATGGAACCAGGATCCCAGGCAGGCCTTGGCTGTGGACGGTTTCAGGAATGCAGCTTTGAGGCTTCCTTGGTCAACATGTTATGGGGGTGGGGGGGGTCAGTGGGCATAGAGAGTTCCAGAGAAAGCCCTTTAGCCCAGGCCTGAGTTGGCATTTGTTATGGGCCAGGAAAAGGCCAGGGCATTGTCAGAATGCACTGGAGTAGGGCTTCCCCTAGCAGGGAGAAGGGATTGGCCAAACAGAGCCGATGGAGCAGCCTCGGATCCTTTCTGGAAGGAGGCAGGGTCAGCATGAGCTTGGTAAACAGGAGTAGGAAACGGAGGGTTTAGAACATCCGTAGGCCTGTTCAGGCACGCCGGCCCCTGCTGGGCCGCAGAGGGTATAACAATGCTGGCTTGTGTGCTGCTACCAAGGGATGGGCCCTCCAGGTTGGCAAGAATTGAGCCAAGGTGAAGTTTAAATCTTCTCTTCAGAGCCTGAGCCTGAGGAGACAGCCGCGGGTGGGACCACCCTCTTTGTGGGGTCTCCAGGTCAGGGGAGGCGGTGACCCTGAGGGGTAATTTAGAGCTGCTCCATAAAATGTAGTGCTTAATGGCACCAGGAGCTGAATACTACCCCTTCTTAGTAGCTGTGTAACCCTGGCCAGGTCTTAAACCTCTTGGAGCCTCTGTTTTCTCATCTGTAAAACGGGTATGATTATCAAATTGAAACCGGCTAACATTTATTAATACTTACCATGTACCAGACACTGTTCTCCCTGCTTTAGGATATATTAACAAAATAGATCCTCACGACAGGCCAGTGAGCTAGGCTCTATCATTTTCCCCATTTTACAGATGGGGAAATTGAGATATAGAGAGATAGAAGAACGTGTTAGAGTTCACACAATGACTGAGCCAGGATCCAAATCCAAGCTGCTCTAAAGTTTGTGCTCCCCTAATCATGATACCTACCTTTATAGGGTTGCTGTGAGGAGTAGATGAGATTACACCTGGAAAGCGTTTCACACAGTGCCTGGGGTATAGTAGGTGCTCAATAGATAGTAGCTAAGGATACTGCTGTTGAAGCTGGGCTGAAGGGTCCAGGGGCCGAGCAGCCTCCCTGGCAGTACGAAGGCAGGCGCCAAAGCAGCTTAGACACACTAGGCTCTCTCTGCAGGGAAGGGCATTCTGTGAGGTGTGCCCGGCTGCCGGGGGTTGTTGGGAGATTGCACAGCTGATCTCCCTGGAACGAGAGCTGATGGGTGGGGCGGGTGGCATTCTGGCTGGATGCAGCCAGGCCCCAAAAGCACCTGGGAGCTGGCGTGTACCTTGGAAGCTGAGGGGAAGTGTGAGCCCCTGGGTCCTCTCACTGGCTTGTGTCCCTGGAGGTGAGGGGCAGAGGGGTTACCCGGGAGGCTGCGGTGTATACGTGAGGCCCTGAGCAGCCCATGGCCATTGGCTTCTGAGAATTTATCCTGGCCGTGTGTGTGTGCGTGTGTGTGTGTGCAAGAGAAAAGGGCTGTTTTCTGAAATGCCGAGGTGGGCCTCCACAGCCATGCTTTTCTGACCTGGTATCTGCTCCAGAGTCGAAACTAGATTGTCCAGCCCTCCTGGGGCTACTCACGTCCTGCCATGTTTTTCTTTCACCTGAGGTAGCCATGGCTGGCACCTTCCTTTGCTGAGAACTGCTTGGTCCCATGTGGTAGCCACGAGCCATATGAGGCCATGGGCACTTGACCGGTGGGAAGTCTGAATTGAGATGAGCTGTAGGTGTAAAATGCACACTGATTTTGAAGACTTGGCATGAGAAAAAGATTGTAAGACAGCCTATTAATTTTTTGTACTGGGCGCCTGGGTGGCTTAGTTTGTTAAGCATCTGCCTTCGGCTCAGGTCATGATCTCAGGGTCCTGGGATCGAGCCCCGCCTCGGGCTCCCTGCTCCGCGGGAAGCCTGCTTCTCCCTCTCCCCTCCGCTTATCCTCTCTCTCAAATAAATAAATAAAATCTTAAAAATTTTTTTTTAAATTGATTACCTGCTGACTAATCACATTTGGATATATTGGGCTGAGTAAATTGCGTTATTAAAATGAATTTTTTCTGTTTCTTTTTTTAAAATGTGGCAACTAGAAAAAACAATTACATGTGTGGCTCACTTTGTATTTCTCTTACTGCCAGCTTAGAGACCCACTGGTGTGGGGAATCTTTTTAGCATAGGATCAGGGCTGCCTTCTCAGCCTGCAGCAGTGCCTGAAGAGAGACGCAAACCTTACGACCCGACACCAACTTGGCACCTCGCTGCCCCCAGAGTAATCATCCCTGCGCCATGCACCGAACAACCCCACGTCCACAGCGGTCCCGTTTCTCTGCAGCGCTGCCATGACAGCACAAGCCATACCTTTACCCTCTCTGTACCACCCCCCGCCCCGTGCCCCCAGGAGCTGCCCATCACACTTAGATTAAGATCCAAACCCCGACTCGGGGCCCAGGGCCCTCTGTAAGCTGACCCCGGCCAGAGCTCTTCCTTCCCCCCTTTGTCACCAGACTCACTCCTGCCCTTGATGCTTGACCCTCCTTCTGCCTGAAGCCCTCTCAGCTCTTCACTGGGCTGGCGCTCCCCAGGCTGGGCCTTCCCTCTCTTGTACCTCCTCTGAGACGCCCCCTGACCTTGACTTTCCCCTCCCCTCCAGCACTACCACATCATCGGGTTCTGTGCAGCCCGGCCCTTTTCACCCTCCCAAATGATCTTGCTGAGATGTTTGTTGACTTGCTTATTACCTGTCTCCCCTTTTAGCTCAGTGGCAGCCCTTGAGAACATGGACTTTGCCCGTCACACTCACTGCTGTATCAGTGCCAGGCACCCAGCAGGGGAGCAATAAACATTTGTTACCCGGATGAACGGATTTAGTCATCAGCAGAACCTGATGAGCCTGGTATTACGACTCTCCCCATTTTACTGATGAGGAAACTAGGCAAAGAGAGGAGAAATAACTAGCTCAAAGTCGCAGAAACGGAAAAGAAGTTAGAGCAAGGATTGGGGTCCAAGGGCTGCTGAATCCAGATGGAGCAGGGGCCACAGAGTTTTGTGGGGGGCACTCCAGCAATGCCCAGGCCTATCGCTGGCTATGCCTGGCCTACCTCCAGTTAAGTCTCCATGTCGGCTGCGCCTCTGTCCTGGCTGGGAGCTTGGGCTCTGGGCTTGCCGAGATGCACAGAGCCCAGTGCAGATTCTGAAACACTGGCCCTGGGGCTGTCTGCCTGGCTCCACAGGGAGTGTGGGCAGGGGAACTCCTAGCCCACTTCTCAGGCCGGTCAGCGGGCCCGGTGCCCTGCTCAGTCCCAGAGGGCTTGGCCGGGTGTGGGAAGCTTCTTAGGGCGGTGGAGGTCCTGGGCCCCCCGGAAGGGCTACCTTCCTGCTGCTCTCCAGGGTTGTGCTGTTCTCTCCGCCAGGCCACCTCCCATGGCCACAAACAGGTCTCGGGCCCACGGAAGCCCCCGCTGGGGGCCGAGCCTGCTGGAAAGCGGTGTGGCCCATATGCAGCTATGAGGCCCAATCCCCCTCTCCACGGGACGAGGCCGCCAAGCTGTGGTCAGCAACCCCTAGGGCCACTTTAGCAGAACTCTTCATTTCATTTTTATTTTTTTAAAAGATTTATTTATTTGAGAGAGAAAGAGAGAGCAGGGGGAGGGGCAGAGTAAAAGGGAGGGAGAGAATCTCAAGAGGCTCCCTGCTGAGCGCGGAGCCAAGAAGGGGCTTGATCCTACGACCTTGAGATCATGACCTGAGCCGAAACCAAGAGTCAGATGCTTAACCTTAACCGACCAAGCCACCCAGGCGCCCCCATTTTAGCAGAACTTTTTGACGGCTGTGATGACTTTGATCCCTGCTCTGATCCTGGCCGCACTGCCATAGTTTGGCAGCAGTGGTTTGTGGCACACAGACTGCCAAGCCCTGCCGTCCCCACAGTGGCTCGGCCTGCTTCTAGCTCAACTGCAGCATGGCCCCTCTAGCTCCTGACTCCCGAAACGGGGGATGTGGTGCCCGGGGGCAGAGTGGAGGGGAGGGGAGCGTCCGCAGTCAGCATCAGGGCCCATCTGGGGACCTGGCCGTGGGCTAAGGCCTTGTGGGGTCATGGTCCCCCTAGGCTCAGGCAAGGACTTAGGGACACACAATCAGAAAGGGATCCAGAGGCTCCTCTGTCTGCATTTACCGGGTCCTTTTTTGTTCCGGCAGAAGCTAGCATTGTCTGGGAACTCAAGAATCTGACCACAGGTCTTCTCAGTCTGACCACAGTCCTCCCCTGCCAAACAGGGGAGGGCCATGGGCGTGCGTGTCCGAGCTAGGCCTGTGGGGGCCTGCCATTTAGGCTGCAGGTATGGGGAGAGATGAGTTCAATAAGAATAGCTGTTCAAGGCCCCCTGGTTCCCTGTCTCTCAGGCCACTTCCCAACCCTTGCCTGGATGCACCGGCCCCCGACACGCCCTCCACACTCCAGCACACTCAAAGAAACAGGTCCTCCTTGAGCGCGAGGCCTCTTGGGGACTTGCCGGTGCTCCATGAATGGAGGGATGAGGGGGCGTATTGTTATTGACCGCAGCGCGGGAAGGGGTTGGGAGATTGTTATGTCTGTGTTATGTCTGTAATGAGTGCCGAAGTTTCCATGCCTCACTGGACACCCTTCCTTCCCCTGCATCCCTTACCTGGGCACAAGTCAGCTCTTCGCTCAGTGGGACACTGGCCTCATTTTCTCACCTGCTCATAGATGTTTTTCATCAGCTCCACGAAGCTCTGCAAGCCTTTTAACTTGGTTTCCAGTTCGGTCCGACGAAGACACTCTGCATCCAGGTCCTGGGGGTGGGAGCGGTGGTGAGTGCCAGGGGAGGGGGGGGGGGGTCCCAGGGCGGGAGTGGGGTGCTCATCTTCCTGAGGGAGATGGGGGTGACTCCCAAGGGAGCCCTGGCTCAGTGCCCGGGAGAAGCAGCAGGGCGAGGACAGGTACCCATGTCTGTCTGTGGTCCCGGGACTCAAGCCTCTGAGGGCTTTGCTTGGGGAGCCTGAGGGAACGAGGGCAGAGGGTCCATGAGGAAGAAGCCCCTGGGGCAGGCTGGGCGGGCTACCTTCTTCAGCTGGACGAAGGTGAACTCCATGTCTGTGCGCTTGGAGATCTCCTCCTCATACCTGGGAGCGGGGGGAGGGAGCGAGGCAGCGGCAGAGAAAGAAAGAGAGAGAGAGGCTGCTCAGCTGCAGGTGGCAGGAGCTTGGGGTATGATTATCCCTCCTGGAGTCGGGCTCAGGGCCTCTGCTGTCCCATTTGGTGCCTTGTGCCAATTAGAAAAAAAGTGGCCTTTGCCTCGGGTGGATGCAGCCCCTCATCTATGACACATCCCTTCTAAGCCCATGACACCATTCTCTCACTCTTTCTGGATGATCAGCCCGTTCTCTCCCAGGGCTCATCTGTCCCCTTCCTGGCTCTTCCTCATATCCACCTCCTCCTGGAAGCCTCTCCTGATTGCGCAGCCCTGCCACCCTAACTTTGTTCTTTCATCTTCTCCTTATCTCCTCCCCCAAGAATCTCCATTTCCTACAAGCTGTGTCTTTGGTCGAGTCTGCTCCGAGCTGTCTGCTCATGGCCCATCCTCTCCCACCTCCCCGCCTCCCCTCTGCATTGCTAGCTGGTAGGACACCATTCCATCATGTTCCCTCCCGAGGCGAGAGTGTGGACCTTGCAGTCAGATAGACCCACAGTGTGTTCTTGGGCAGGTAACTGCACTCCCCTTTCCTCGGCTCGTCCGTCTATTAGGGGTGTGTGTGTGCACGTGCGGGGCTGGGACCAAGCCCACCCCCGGTACGGTGACAGAGGTGCATAGTCGATACTCCACAAAGGTGGGTTCCCTCTCTTAGCTTTGCCTCCTCCTTTCTCTACTCCACCTTGTGTTTGGAACAAGGACACTGTTGGACGAGAGATGGCATCTCTGGGTCTCTGACCTTAACCCCTTGCTCTAATCAAACCTCTGTCTTGGCCCTCCCCAGGGTGGGTGTCTACCAGCGCAGACTTCTTGCCCTCAGCCCTGCCTGCCTCCCTGCATGTGGGGATTCTGTGGCTTCCAGGGAATGCCTGAATCACTGGCGGCTCTAATTACAGTCGCCTGCCCGCCCCGCTCCCTGACCTCATGGCAGGGGCAGCGTCACCCTTCGCCCACGTCAGCTGGCTGGACCTGCCACCACTCAGGCCTTGCTTTCCACCAGCCTTTACCTGAGAAGCTGAGGGGAGCAGGCCCCAGCTAAGAGCCCGCCGGGCACTGGGTCTCTGAGACTCAGTGTGCTTAGCGCACGGACTCCCGGCTGCTGCCTTGGCTTCCCAGAGTCTGCAAGGGCCTTTCAGGATGAGGGTCACGGGCGTGGGGTGGAGGGTGGGCCAGGGGGACTGGTCTGCAGTCTGGGGCCTACCAGAGCCAAAAATATGCCCAGGAAGCTTTCCTTGCGCCCTTTTCTGTGCAAGTGGGCTCCAGAGCCCCACTACTTGGGTTTGGGTCCCGGCTCCTTGCTAACTAGCTGTGGGACCTTGGCTAAGCTGCTTGTGCGTGCCTCAGTCATGACAATAGTGATGTCACGAGGGTTATATAAGTTAATACACGGAGTGTTTACAACAGTGCATGGCACCGGCTAATGCTATTATTATTACCTGAGCTCTGGTCTATCTAACCTCAGGCTCTGGCCCTCATTCCCTCTGCCTTGGCCTCTAGCCTTTCTGGAGACAAACCGTGGGAAGCCTCATGGCAGAGAGAGCGGATGGTTCTCTGCACTTCCATCCCAGACTTCCCACTGGGAATTTGGTGGCCTCTGAGGACTTCCCTGCCCTGGGGGTGGGGGTCTAGAGAGCCCCAAGCTGAGAAGCCCCTCATTGGCTGGCCCTCCCTGTGTAAGCCCAGTGGTCAAGGCTCTCCCCTTCTCCTCTCCCATCTGGATAGCAGAGTTCTGCCTGCTTGGGGGCAGGACCTTGGAGATAGCTGTCCAGTGGGGGTTCTCTGAGGTGTCAAACCTCCTCCTTACCCCTCACTGTCCTTCCAATCCTTTTGTATAGCCTTCCCTCCTCCCATTTCACCAACTCCACTGGATTTCAGCCCTAGTTCACCCCCTCAACCAGAAGCTCTTGTGCAGTAAACCTCCTGCACAACAGTACATGGCACCCCCGAGTCACTTGCTACGTGGCCTTGGGCAAATGATTTCCCCTTGTGGGGCCTCTGCTTCATCCTTAGTAAATATAAGGGTTAGCTAGCTGATCCCTGGGGTCCTGGCTACATCAAAGCTTTTGGAAGTCTCTGTCATTATAGAGACTTAGGTAAATGCTATCTCCCCCACTCCACTCCCAATCCCCTGCCAGTCTGCCAGTCACCAGTTCCCAAACCCATTCTCAGCCCTTTTCAGCTTGTCACACCCACCCCGCCCGCCCCCTCCCCCCCACTTGTTTATTTCTAGGAGTGAAGCTGATCTCATCGGCCTTGTAGAGGCAGGGCACACCCCTCCCTGTCAGGGCTTGGCCTGGCGTCTCCAGGCTCCTGGGGCCCCCCAGGCTCTACACAGCCAAGCTGCAGCTTCCCTGGCTGTGGCCTGTGGATCTAGAAGCCCTCTAACCTCACCTCCCCCAAGCCTGGTGGGTTTCCTACCCAGAGAGGGGAAGAGAGGCTCTGAGCCAAAACAGTAAGCTCAGGGCGCAGATGGAAACCAGGCAGCAGGCCAACTGAGGAGGCTGAAGCAGATTAAAACAACAAGTAGCGTTTGTACAGAACTTCCAGTTACAAAGTGCCTCCATGGACGTGATCTGGCTGGGCTCATGGGAGCAGCCTCCTCCCGCAGCTGGCTGGGGTTACGGATGGGCTTAGCTCACGTGGCTGTGTGACTGAGGACAACTCCCTGCCCTCTCTGGGCCTGTGTTTCCTTCCCCATGAAAGGATGATCCCAGTCCCCCATCCAGCCATTCTGTGGTTTTTTGAGAGTCAAAGAGCTGCCAGACATCAGTGAAACAACTCTTCGATTCTGGTGTGCCAACACGATTCCCCTCATCATGGTCAGATGTTGAAGCTAGGCAGCTTGGAACGGGCAGTGAGGTTCCCCGTGGGTTTCTGTAGGAACTGGTAAGGCGGGCTGGGGGAGAGGGCCCCTCGGCCATGGAGTGGCCCAGCCACGAGGAGGAGCCCAGGCCAGGGCTGCAGATCATGCTTGTTGGCCAGAAAGTTCCAGATAGATCCACAGATGAGGATACTGAAGCCCCCAGAGTGGGGAGAACTTGCCACATGGCCATCTCTGAATATGGCCTGAGTAGGGGAGGTCATAAGGAGAGGTGGTGGGCAAGCTGGGCCACAGCCCAGAACTGGACTCCTGACAGGCTGCCCCAGTCCCTTGGCTGCTCCCAAGACCACAGGCCTCACCTTGGGTTGGCAGGGCTTGGGGCTGGGCCAAGCGCTGGAGGAAGGGAGGGGAGGGGTTCCGGCATATCCCACCCTCCCTCACCCAGGCCGGGGGCCTCCTCAAAAGGACACCAGACCAGAGGAAGGAGCGCAGGGACACAGTCTCTCTGCTCTGTCTCGGCTTCCTTGTCCTTGAAGCCCTGCCCGCTGTCTGGTCAGAGACGTCACCTGTCCTCTGAGGGACCCCAGCACCTGGTCTGCCTCTCCTCACTGCCCAGTTCAGTTCAGCACACCCGCGTCAAGGACTAGTGTTAGCCTTCTATGGGGTAGAAGAGGTGCCGTTTATGGCGGCCAGGCACCATGCTGAGCTCTCCACTTCCTCCTCACGGCAGCCTCAGGATGGTTCAGCATCATCACTCCCACTCCACACAGCGGGGTACTGAGGTTTGGATGTTGAGCCACTTGCCCGAGGTCACAGAGCTAGTGAGGAGTGGAGGCCAGGAGTGAACCCCTGCCAGTCTATGAGCACCTCACAGGCTGGGGCTGTGGTTTCTCTTCTCTCTAGATCTTAAGGCGACCACTGAGGTCAGGCATGCATTACCTACAGGGGATTGCTTCTTTATTCCAACAGACCGCCCCCCCTTCTGCCCCCTGCCTTCCCTTTCCAGCCCACTCAAGATCAAATTTCCAAACATCTGTTGTTCTAGCTGGTGACAATTTCCCATTGCCAGTGGGATGCGTGGGCGAGAGCAAGTGTGTTTATGGGCACGGGAGGAGGGGACAGGGCATCGGGACTGCAATGGTGCCCAGGGCCGGCAAGCATAGGGCTTAGCTGTCCGTCAGCACAAGACTGACTTGGTTGCCAGGGGCACTATTTGGGAGGGTTGCTGTGGGTTCACGGCCATCTCCTCCCCATATTTAGAATACTGGCTGGCACCTACATAGTAGGTCCCCAGTAAGCACGTCTGTAGTCAAGAGATGTTCCTTAAGGATGTTTTCTCGTTTTCTGGCTTGGGTGCCCGGGGCCTTGCATCCGGGTGCAGGTCGTTTCCCACCCTCGGCCCCGGCCCACAACCTCACTGGGGCTCACCCTACCTGATTCGAAACTCCTCGACCTTCTGGAGCACCTGCAGCAGGTTGGCCTCCAGCTGTCCTCGCTCCTGGCTCACTTTGAGCAGCTCCGCCTGCAGCCGGCCCTGGTACTCCTCATAGAGGTGCCCGAGGTCGAAGGTGCCGGAGTCCTGGCCTTGCAGGAAGCGCCAGCGGGTCTCCAGCAGCTGGTTGCGCTGCTCCAGGGCCTGCACCTGGGAGAGCAGGGGAGTGGCAGTGAGAGGGCCCGGCGCGGACAGGTCGGGCGCGGAGGCTCCTGGACAGTCAGCGGGCCCGCATGGGGGCCTCCCCGGGCAGTGGCGGCTCATCTGCTCTGCGCTCACCCCCCGGGGCCTCACTGGGCGCAGCCGGATCACATCTCCAATTGCGGATGGTTCACACAGAAGATGGCAAGATAAGGAGGGAATCAGAAAGGGGTGGAGCCAATTAGCCAAGGTTTCCTCGGGGAGGAGCGGGCCCGAGAGAGGAGGGAAGGGACTGAGTGGGCCCATGAGGTGACAGGCCCTCCATGACCGCCTGGGGCTTGGGTGGGAGATCCCAGGGAACACAGGGTGTCAGAGGCCTGGCTGCCGTCCCCTCCCTGCCCCCCCCAACCTGACAAGCCTAGTCTCATCTTGCCGTGGAAGCTCAGCAGTGCAGGGCCTGGCGAGGACCTCATTGTTAATGCTCCCAACCACCCTGGACTTGTAGCTTCTCCAAGCCTCAGTTTACCCAGCTAGAAGTTGGGGCTGACACGGCCTGCCCTGGCCGCCTCTCAGGGCTGTCTGGGAGAGGAAGCTGGGGATATGCTCTGGAACAGTTATACTAGCAAGTGTTTATGTGTTCCCTACTGTGAGCCAGGCCTTGTTCTAGATGCTGGACATCTTTGCCTCATTAGATCCCCACGTCCTGATGGGCTAGGTGTAGTCGTCCGCCGCACTTTACAGAGAGGCCAAATAACTGGCCCACGGTCACAAAATTAGCAAGTGGCCGAGCCAGGTGTGGAATCCAGGGCAGTGGGGGTTTAGACTCTTTTAACCCCCACAACATGGGGCTCCCGTCTGCGGCTGGAGTCACCGCGGGCCCCGGGACCCACCTGCCCTTCCTGGATTGGCGTCTGCCTCTAGTTGGGGCTGGTGTTGCCTTGAGGGTGACGACTGGAAGGGCTCTGGGCACAGCTGCTTCTCTCAAACTGCCTCCTTCCCTCTCTCCTCCTCACGCTGCTGCAGGGCCTCCCACGGCTCCGAGCCCAACCACTGCACGCTGTCAGGATCCCTCTTGAATCCTCTCCTGCCCTCCACCCAGTCCAGCCCAGGGCAGCCTGGGGGGCCCCCTGCCTCTGCCCAGGCTGCCTGTTCTCTCCAGGCTCCAGCCTTCCTCTGACTGTCCTTTCTACCAGCCCCGTCCCTCCCCGTTTGCGCTCCCAGCTCCCCTCCTGCAGGAAGCCTCCAAGAATCAGAGCTCAGGGGCACCCTGCTGGCTCACTGGGGGAGGGTGGGGCAGAAACGTGCGACTCTTGACCTTGGGGTTGTGGGTGGGTTTGAGTCCTACATTGAGTGTAGAGATTATGGAAATAAATAAACTTAAAAAAAAAAGAAAAGGAAAAGAAAAAGAATCGCAGCTCAGAAGAAGGCCCCCCCTCCCTTCCTTAGGAGGTCCTCAGTTTATCTGCTCCTCACTTGTCCGGACCTCCCACCCTCCCCGCCAGTTGGGGAGCCACCTGCTCTCTTCTTGGGATCCCTACCACTTGGTGTCCACGTCAGGGGCAGCTGGGAGAGACGGCTGGGGCCTGGCTCCTGGGCAGGCTGTGGTCACAAGGGTGCTGTGACAACCCGCCCCGGGATGTTCCCCAGGCCACTGGCTGCCCCCTGCCCGCTGATGGCACTAGCTCCCGCAATCACGGCTGAAAGAGCCAGAATCATAGCCAGGAGCCTTTCGGGTTTGTACCTGGTTTGTACTCTTCATTTACAGAGGGTGCGGTGAGGGCCCAGGGTGGTCAATGGACTTGGTGGCCAAGCTTCTCGGGCAGGCCCATCTGATGGCTGCTGCCCACTCTGGACCTTAATGGACTCCCTGTTTCTTTTGAATCTGGGGTCCCTCCTCTTTCTTCCTGTACTGCCCACATTCTTGGGTTTTCCTGTGACGCCCTACCATCCTTGAGAAGTCCCCTTTGACGTTTGCAGTAGACAATGCCACCAGGAACCCTGGTCCATGGCCTTGTGGGCTTGTCATCGCCCTGCTTAGCTCCCATTTGTGCTGGGACGTTCAGCTCACAGCCAACCTAAGCCTGCAGTCCTGCTGTTGTCACAGCCAAACAGGTTCCGTAGGGATGGCAGTCAAGAGGGTTTCTGTCCTACCGGTGTGTGTGAGAGGGATCTCTGGTGGGGGAGATCCTTGCTCACTCCACCTTCCTTCCATTTGACAAGCCAGGGCCCTGTGTTTACATTGAGGGTGAGGTGAGAGGGGAGATGTGAGGCTCCCTCCTCCACCCATAAGCAACAAAACACCCTTTACACCAGGAAGTCCTTCCCTTAGTCTCACCTCAGTTTCCTATGCTTCAGTACCAGCCGCTGGGAGATGGTGTGCTTTTGGCTAGCAGGTCCAGCCAGAGAGCACTTTTGGTTGTGAGACATGGGGCAGCCCTTTCCCCTGCTGCCATGTGTGTGTGTGTAGGGGGGGGGTAGTTTATTGTTGTCTCAGTGGGTGGGGATGGAAACTCAACCCCATCCAGGACCTTCCCAGCACAAGGCTCCTCCCTCTCCGGAACAAAGGACCAGGGAGGGCCCAGTAAGCAGTTAACTGCTCTAACCGGTCAAGGCTGCTGATCACTCACCTCCTAGCCCCCTTCCTCCCGCTTCTGGCTGACCCCCTGCCCTGAGATCATCGGCAGCCCTCTAGGAGGGGCCTCAGAGAGCAAACCCCTGGTCTACCTGCCGCCCATTTTACAGGGGAGGAAACTGAAGCCCCAGAAACACAGAACTCACTGTGACCCAGCCCCACCGCCCGGCTGAAAAGCAGGCCCAGCCCAGGGTGGGGAGAGATGTGCTTCCTGTATTGGGAAGGAGCAGCCCCAGGTGGCTGGAGCTCCTGGCTGGGGGCTCCCTGGGGAGGGAGGCCTCAGACCCCTGGCCCACAGTCCCCGGCAGTGACCCCCGGGGCATGGGGGGTGGTTGTGGGTTATCAAACCCTCCTGCCAGCAGGCGCCCACTGCATGGTGGTTCCGGTGACTTCCAGAGGCCGCACAGGCCCACGGGAAGACATTGTGCCCATCCCCTGTCCCCGGGCCTTTCACCGCCCCCCTTAGGTCCCCTTTTCACAGCCTCCTCAGGTGGGCTGCTGGCAGTCCTGTCTCTTGTCCCATCTCCATCCCATCTGTGGTCTGCATGTGCCTCTGCGGGATGGCACCGCAGCCTTCTCCCGGCCTGCCTCAACCTCCCCTCCTACTGCTGCTACTCTCTCCCCATCCTCTCAGGGCTGTGCCCCTACCCGCCTTGCCTCTGGCATGAGCTCGGGGCCGTTTACAGAGCAGGAGCAGAGCAGGGAGGCGGAATCTGAAGCTCAGAGAGGGTAAGTGGCTTGCTCAGGGAAACACAGCCTGCAGAGGGAAGAACCAACACAGCTCCAGGGACCCGACTCCTGGGGGTCAACCCCCCACCCTCCTCCTCCTCCTCCACTTCCTCCTTCTCCTCCTCAGTGTGCTCTGATTTCTCTTGGTGCCTCAGAGGGCTTAGAGGGGACAAGGAGTTGAAGGGCCCCAGTCTGTTTCTTCTCTTTGCCTAGAGCCCCCCAGGCCTGCACTGGTTATGGCTTCTCACCCCTGGGCCCATACAGTTCTTTCTGGCCCCGTGTGCCACTGCTACCCATGAAGTTCCCCCACCCTCTTCTCAGGCTCTTCTCAGGCTCCTGCCTGCAAGGGGCCAACTAGGTTCAAGAGCTCCCCGGGCTGGGCCCGTTTACGATATTTTTTATTTAACAAACAGAACCCACCTGGCACATGGTAAGTGCTTTTTAAAAGCTTTTCAAAAATTATCCCATTTGATCCTGACCAACCCATTACATGGATGCATACTGAGAAGCAGAGAGGTCAAATAATTTGCCTGAGATTAAACAGCTGGTCAGAGGTGGAACCCGGATTCAAATCCAGGAATGGGGTTTTTCCCTCGGGCCCTTGAGGCCTTTACAAGGAGACAGGGAGGACATAAGTTAACAGACTGAGCTAACGACCTTCTCTGTAGGGTTGGTGGATCAGCTGGGGCTTTTTGGCCCCAGCGATCAGGGTCCGCAAGAGGTGGGCACCCATGGCTCCGTCGTCCTACCCTGAAGAGCATCTGTCTCAAGGCCAAGGCTCTAGGGTTGGGAGGCTCCAGTTCCGCTAAAGACCTCAGAGCGTGTCGCCCTGGCCCCCAGGCACCAGACCCCAGCCCCTTGAGCCCCCTCCCTGTGCCTACATATCTTTCCTGTCCCCAAGGCCAAGGCACAGGGTGATATCAGCCCTGGTGTTCAGAGAGAAAAGCCACCCATCCCGAGTCAAATTACGTAGCTCATGAAGTATTCCTTTTAAGGGATTAAAGCGGTTTCGAGAGGAGGTGGCTCTGCGGGGACCTGCCTCCCAGGGCAGCAGGCTGTTTTCCTAGGGCACACAGCCCAGAGGTGCAGGGCGCTGCACAGCCGGCCGGGGCCAGGGCTGGGGCCGGGGGAGGGAATGCGCCACCTCAGTGGATGGTTGTCCTTCTCCAGCTGTCATTTCCCCTCCTCATGCCCCGATCCTGGTCACACCCTGGGTGCGGGTGCAGGAACGCTGGTCTGGGCACATGAGTTGGGGGGAGGGGAAAACAAACCCATAGACCTGAGTTCAAGTCCAGACTGTATGCCTGGTGGTAGTGTGACCTTGGGCAAGGCACTTAACCTCTGGGATGCTGTCTCCTCATCTCTACAGTAGGAGAAATAGCCACTGGGGAGTGTGGCCGTGTAAGCCAATGACACACATTGGCAAAGTTCCTGCAGAGAGCTGGGCACAAGCAGATGCTCCATACGTGTTACCTTCTTCCCTCTGCCCTTCTCCACGGACACCCCACTTACGGGGGACCCTAGCAACATTCAGGGGAACACCAAGGCAGGGGGACAAGTGCGGACAAGGACTGGGGTGAGGGCAGAAGGATGGGGCTCTGGTGTACTGAGTAGGAGGGAGAAGTTGAGTTTTCCTCATCTGTTAAATGGGCATACTAGGACTTCTTTCATAAGGTTGTTGAGGGAAACTGAGGTAAATATGTAAAGCATCCAGTATGGTGCCCGGCATATAGTTAGCAGTTAATACAGCCGTTACTATTATGATCCTTGTTTCTGGGCAGGGCAGGGGGGCAGACCTGGGAGGGCCGATCTGCAGAGGTCTCTTGGAGGAGGTGAATGAGGAGTGGGCTCGGGAGGTGGGCAGGACTTTCTCAGGGCTCTTGAAGCCAATGCCCTGGGGCGGAGGTGGACGGGAGTGCCTCACACCAGCATGCCGGCCACGGCAGTGGGGTCTAGGAAGTCTGGGTGCTGGGGACTCACTCCCTCTCTCATGAGGGTGCTGGGGAGGCCTGGCTGCCTGTCTGCTTCTGACTCGCAACACCGATTCTCTACATTCCTATCTCCTGACATGCTACTGCGGCATCCCTAATCCAAAGCCTCCTTCTGGAGGACCCAGGTGCCCCTTTGGCCCTGCTGGCACTTCTGACCTCTGGAAGCTGAGCAGGGCCAAGGCCTGGAAAGGAGGGCGGACCCTTGGGAGCTCATCTCCTCCATCCACCTGCCTTGGAGTCGGACGGCAAACCATATCTCCATCAGCCATTCCTATGAGAGCGTATCCTCCTGGCCACACTTGGAGCTCCTCCCTAGTGTCCACCTAGGGGGACAGTGACCCCAAGCCATGAAGCCCATTATTACCCAGACATCCCTCAGAGCCATCCCGGCGCCTCTTTCTCCCCCAGTGCCAGGATGGCTCAGGGACTTCCCTCGCCAGCTCTCCGGTCAGAGCTAGCCTGCCGGCTCCTCATTGGCTGGCGGCAGGGGTGGGGCATGATGCTCCAGAAGTACAGAGCTCAGCCGCCTGCCCAGCTCTGAAGGTCCCTAGCTTTCAGTTATCAAACCCTTCTGGCAGCAGGCGTCCTACTTCAGGCGCCACCCCCCCCCTACTTCAGCTCACCTTGCCAATCAGGGAGGCAAATTTATCATTGAGGACCTTCATCTCCTCCTTCTCCTGGGTCTTCTGCTGCTGGATGGCTGGGTCCACTTTGAGGTCCAGGGGCACCAGCAGGCTGGGGTTCACGGTTACCTGGGGGATGGTACCAGCTGCCTCGCAGCCTGTGAAGCTGCGGGAGCTGAAGCCTGGCCCGGGGGTCCCGCAGCTGCCCCATCCCGAGGTCCCAGGCCGGGGGCCGCCCGCAGGGGTCACCTCACAGCTGCTAAGGCTGCTGAAGCCAACGACGCAGGAGCGGCAGGCCATCGCGGCCCCCGGGCCCGGGACGCGGGAAGGCACGGGGGTGTGAGTGAGCCTTGGTGGGGTGGCAGGCAGCTGGCTCTGGTCGCAGGCAGGGCAGGCTGGGGACTGAGGAGCAAACACCTGTCCTACAGTGCTCATTAGCTCCAGGAGGGCGGGACGCCTCTCAGCCCGACCAACCTGTTAGATGATGCGATGCTCCTGCCCCTCCCCCGGCACCACGCACACATCTCCTCCCTGGGCCTGAGACTTGCCTGCTTGAGGGGGCTGTTCACAGGCCCCCATATCGAGCTGGGTCTGGCTCCGGGGAAGGGGGGGGCGAGGCTGGGCTGGCTGGCGGGCTGCGTGGGGGTGCGGTGGTGGCAGAGCAAGAGCAGACCCCAGGAGGAGGGAGAGAGAGGCGCGCGCGAGAGCACCTCTCACCGCAGACCTCACTGCATACCTGAAGGCTGACGTATCTGGGCTCACATACTTCTGGAAAAGATGAGGCAAGCGCAGGCCGTGTGCTCCCAGAGTGCAGGGCAGCCGTCCTGGGCGGCATGCCATCTGGCACTAGGAAACAACACCTTTTTATTTATCTTCTAGCTGCCTAAGAGTCTCCCTGGCTTATCTCTTCCTGTCTTTCCCCCTTTCTCTCCCTCCTTCCTTCCTTTGACCTCGGGTTTATTGAACACCTACTAGCACATCCCACTGTCTCAGAGGCTGGAGAGGAAATAGATGGCCAAGACCAAGAGCCCTTGGCTTTGGACAGGGGAGACTTGGGCTCCAGACTCAGCCCGGCTGCTCGCTGCTGGTGTGACCTCAGGCAGGTTAGCTGACTTCTGTGTCAAGGATGGAAATGCTCCCCACCAGCCCCCCGGCCATGGGAGTCAGTGTATGCACAGAACTTAGTGGAGGGCAGGGCACGAAGCCCTCGGTAAATGGTGGCTAAGACCCGGGGCCTGCCTGTGGGGGAAGGACAGGGCTTGCGTGCAGCTCTTCCTCAAGGGCTATGGGAAAGGGCCCTTGACCCCCATCCACCCCCTTCCCTCCTTTCCTCTGTCCTCCCTTCTCTTTCCCCTGTTTCATCTTAAGAAATGAAGGATCTATAGAAAAGATGCCAGGTGGTTCCCACAGAGCCTCAGGTGGGGCGGCAGAAGGTTCAGTGAGCCCACAGTGCCCCCTCCATCCCACCTTCCCTTGGTTCCGGAGGCCCCTCTCTCTCACTTCCGCAGTCACTCGCTCTCTGGGGCCTGCTCTTCCTTCCTCCCTGGCCTGATGTCCCTGGATACTCTTGCCCTGGCCAGCTGGCCCTGTGTGCCCTCCCTGGGCCTGGCATGCCACTCTGGGGTGGTGGGGCCACAGCAAGGAGAGACTCAGGTGGTCAGGGGTGGAAGAGCTCTCGGCCCCTCTGGGACCGGAGGAAGAGACAGGCTGGAGATGGGGAGCCACTGCCCCAATCACATGGCCCAGTCCAGGCCTCCCGCCTCCCAGGCCAGCCCTCTTTCCAGCCTAGTGGGTACTTCTGGCTCCCCAGGGCACAGCAAGCTGTCCCGAGGCCGTGACTGTATCTTGAGCCTGAGTCCCCAGCCTCAGGTACTTCTGAGTGACTGGGTCACTGTGATGGTGTCTGTGTCCACCCCTTCTGACACATGCTTCCCCATTCTCCACCCACCACCCATTGCCTGGCCCACCCCAGCCTCTCAGACCTGGTATCTGGATGGCATGTGGTTCACCTCAGCGGCCTACCCTCCCCCACCCCGGCCGCCCCTGCGTGCTCTGTGGGGACAGGGGAGGCAGGCAATGGCTGACATGTCACGTATGTCCCCGATGCTTTATCTGGATTAGTTCCCTTAGTCCTTATGACACTCGAGGTGGACAAGTTAGTTCTCATCAGCCTCAATTTGCAGAGGAGGAAACTGAGGCTCAGAGGGAGTTAAATGCCTTTCTAAGGTCAGATCGTTTATCAGGGATAGATTTGAACGCAGACCGTTGGAGTTATGAGCCCTCCCTCTTATCTTAGCCTCTAAGCCTGGAGACCCCGGAAAGGGCAGTGGGGACACAAGAGGAACTGTCTTCTCACTGTCTGGGGCTTGGCTCCACCTCCTCATTTTCTTTGAGCTGGATGCCCCAATTCTCAAAAGCGCCTCTGAGTAACTGAAGTCTGCCGTTTCTTGCTGACTTGTGCTGACGTCTGTCAGCATCTGAGTTGTAACAAGTCACAGTTAATGGCCGAGTCCCCGGCTTCATGGCCGGCATGCCAGGGCCGTCTCTGGGGCCCCCGAGCACTGCACGGCCTTCCTTGGGGTGGCCGGGCCTCTTGGAGGCATGGAGGGCATGCTGGCCTGGGGCTCTGGCTGGAGGTGGGACGTGGGTCCTGCTGTCTTCGCTCTGGCCCCGCAGTCTCTCTTGGGTGCAGTCCTGGAGGTGTCTTTGGCTGTCACAGCCCCGGCTGCCAAACAGGAAGGGCAGCGAAAAAGCTCTGAACACAGCTCCTGGCCCTCTGCATCCCCCGCCTCTCCCCCTTCCCTCTCTGAGCTCCACCCACACCAGCCTCTAGCCCCACACTGACATCCTTGGGGGCAGGGGGGCAACTGTACAGGCCCCTGCCTCTCCAGCCTCACTGAGGACCCGATGTGACTGTCACCTGGCCTTGGTTAGGAGCCCAGCTACCTAGGGTTTTTAAGCCTCCCAGGGATCAGGAAGCCTGGCATGGCGGGGGCGGGGGGGGGGGGTTGGGAGAGGTGAAATGGAAGGTGGGCAGAATTTTCAGTCTCTGTGGGGATGTTCAGGTACCTGGACAGTCTCCACACCCCTCCTAGATGTACTCACAAACCTGCTTTGGGTTTTAGGTGGGGCGTGAGCTTGGGTGACCCCAGCTGGAGACAGCATCTGGATGTCCTAGGCCCCTCTGGGATTCCGGAGGCCTGTCCCGGTTGGTGCTTACATGGTCCAGGGACAGAAATCTCAGTCCCCCTCCCTCTACCTTGAGCCTCCCTCCTTTGCCCCTGGTCTCCTGGAACTGGTGACAGATGTCATTCTGCTCCTCCAGGAGTCAAGGGCTGGCTGGAGATAGGGCATGGGGATGGCTCAGGCCGGGCTGTCCCACAGGCCCCTGAAATGGGTCCTCAAAGAAGCAAAGGGGGGTTTTCTCATTTTCTCTGCTTCTTCCTTCCTTCCATCTCTCCGTGGCACTCCCTCCCAACCTCAGGTCTGTCTCCCTCTTTGTCATCCACCTCTTCTCTCTTGCTTCCCTGCCCACCCATTGTGCTCAGAGTGTCCTGCCCACTCAGAGTCCAGGCGCAGGGCTCCTTTGCCTCCTCTCAGTCCTGGGGAGGACGGGTGTCTGAGTTGGCCCACACAGGCTGGCTAGGTGGCCTTATGGGGATGGCATCATGTGTCACAGTTTCAGTTTCTGCTCTATGCTCTGCTCCCCGTTTGGCCCGAGGCCTGGCCCTTGGAGCCAGCAGGCCTGGAATAACTCAGAATAGCAATGCATAGTTGCTGGATGAATGTTCCAGTGAACACATCTTAGCCCAGCTGGGGCTCTGGGGCGGGATGTGGCTCTCGGGGAGACAGGCAGGGACTCTCTGTGCAGGGAAGAATCTTCGTTTCACTCCATGGCCTGGTGGGAAGGTGAGGTCACTCCTCCAGGAAGACTTCCCAGATGAGCCTGCTCAGGTTCCTGTTGGTGTCTCTTCCTTTCTCCCAAAGGCACATCCACATCTATGTGCACTGAGTCAGGGCCCTCTTGCCTGATGAGGCTAGAATCTCTGACCTCCTTTCTCTGGACTGTCCCTTTGAGCGGGCCTGTCCTGAGGCTGCAAGAGGGAGGCCCTGCCCTGTGGCAGGTCTCGGGAATGGGATGACCTAGGCTCTGCGCAAAGGATTTCTGAGAGCTCCAGAGCTGGGGGTTGGGGAGCTGCGAGTAGATTTGGGAGGGGCAAGGGCCAAGAAAGGGGACCTAAACAGCAAGGATGGAGAAATTAAAACAATGCCTGTTTACGCCTCCTTCACATGCCAGGCAGGCTACAGAGACCTGAGAGAGGCCCTGACCTGTGTGAGGGTGTCTGGGATACCCTCCCAGAGGGGGCAGGGAGCAAAGACTTGGAGGGAGGGGAAGAGCTGTCCAGGAAGGGGGGGGAGGCTGTTTCAGGCTGAGACAGCAGCAAGAGCTGTGGCATGAGGGATGGCGTGGGGGATGGTGGTAATGACAACAGCCACTATTACTGGAGTTCCAGAGGTGCCGCGAAGCTCAGAGGAGCAGTGACTGCCTTGGGGGCCCAGGGAGGCTGCATTCAGGGCATCTCATTACTTTGCGTGAAGTCTTTCAGTGGCTCCCTGTGGATGACGGGATAAAGTCTAGAAGATTCCTTGGGACATCAAACAAGATCCTTTGCTCCCACTGCCCTTCTTCTTCGTGTCTCTTCTCCTTCCTACCCTCCTTCTTCCCACGGCCTCTGCCAAGTTCCACCCCCACCACACTGGCCCCATTTCCCCCAAACCTGCTGAGCGGTGCCATGAGTCCGTGTTGGAGAGCGCAGGTGTGGAACATTTCCATCCTCAAGTATGATTCTACTGGACGGTGCTGCCCTGCCAGTAGGCATCTGAATGGGCCAGGAGGCTGCAGATTCCTTCAGGCTGGGAAGGGGTTCAGGGGACGCTAGCAGGGCCGCATGGTGGTGGCGGAGCACTGAACCTGGGCACGGGAGACCTGGTTTCTGGTATGGGTTCTGTCACTCGCCAGCTGTGTGGTTTGGGGCCACCTGTTTGGCCTCTCTGGGCCTCAGTGGCTCTCAAATTCAGTTGTATAAGCTACGTGGACAATTGCTGTTTTTTTAATTAAAAGTTTTTTTTCCCCTTCCATTTTGTTCAACGAATGTTCCTCAAACTGTTGTCAACTCCCTCGCTCTGCTGGGTGAAGCGAGGTTCTCGGCCCATCAGTGTGCTGGAGAGGTCAGGCAGAGTTGTGGGTATTCTATAATGAGGGCAGGCCTCGGGGGCCAGGAAGAGGTGAGCATAGGCTAATTACACTTTCCTGTCTTCATAGCACTTAACCCAATTTGTAATTATTTGTTGTTGGTTGTTTATTTGTGCCTGCCTCCCCTGCCAAGCTCTGTGAGCACAGGAAGTGTGTGGTGGCTTTGTCCCCTCGGTGTCCCAGTGCCTGGCACATAGTGGGGGCTCGATGACCATTTCTGGAAGCTGGCTCCAGAGCCCCTGTCCTCCAGGACCTGGCTGCCTCCTTGCCAGGCTGAGCTGGGCTGACTGGGATGGGCCCATGGGTTCACGTTTGGTTCTCTGCCTGGGGTGTCTCACATCCCACCATGGCTTGACTCCCAGACGCTTGGCTTCTTGTCCCTTCGGTTCCCACTCAGCATTGGGCAGAAACTCTGATGCCCTCCCGCCAGGCCGAATGCCTTAGGTGGGCGAGAAGATCGATGGTCCTCCCTGCAAAAGAAAGAGGCAGAAAGAAGCCTTCCTAAGCTGGCAGAAGCTCCATTAGGCCTCGGGTTTGGTCAGACATGCATTTGGGGCAGAGCAGGGATGAAGCCATAAACTCCCCAGTCCTGCCCTTGCTGTAGGGTCTGAGGGTGGGATACATGGCCGTAGGTTCCCCTGGTCCCGAGGGAGGGGAGGCCTGGCCTGCCTGGGGAACCCCAGCCCGTGTCTGGCTGTGTGGGTGCTGGGCTCATGCTAGTGGCATTTCCGCATGGTTGCCGGGCCTGCTTCTGGGTGGAGAGGAGCAGGAAGAAGAATTGCACAAAGGGAAGCTGGTGGGAGGGCCCTGCTTCTTCCGTGGCTCACTGCCTCCCAGGGAGGGCCAAGGGGCCCCTTGGTTCCCTGGGAAAAACCCGGCCCTGTCACCTGCCGTCTGCTGCCCCCAGCAACAGGGGTCTTGGTGGCCTCCCCTCACTCCTGTGCCACCCACCGTGCCTGGCCCTTCCACCCCTGAGGACACTTTCTTCCGACAGCCCTCTGTCTGCTTGGAGCCTCACCCTGCCACCCAGCCAGCTCCCCCTCCCCATGGGAAGTCTTCCCCAATAGCCCCCTCACTTGCCCTCTGGGCCAGAGACCTCTCAAAAGCAGCCTTCTGGATGGCAGGACTTTGACCACTGCTCTATCATCAGTGGCGCATAGTAGGTGTGCAAGAAATAGCTGTTGAACGAATGCACAGCGTGCCCTCTCTTATTTAGCACTTGTTTCTCTGGCTCACTTGGGCAAAGGTTTCTTCCCTCTCCCACTAGACAAGCTCTGGAGCCCTATTTCCTCTCTTTCGAGTGCCCCCACCCCCCTCAGCGCAATCCTGGTCACCGGAAGAAAGCCCCCCCACCCTGTCTGCCCCTGCCTGTCTGTGCCTTCACTCAGGAACTGCGTTCTGCATCTCTCCTGCGTGCCCTTGCCCATCGCCTGTCGCTGTGCTGAGCTGTGGGGCCAATACAGAGACAAAGGAGGCAGGGTGGTGACTTGGCTGTTCTCCCCCCACTCTGGGGCCCCCACTGCCTCCCCGGGGCCAGTGCCTTGTGGACTCTGGAATCTTCCCCTTTAGCCCCTGCCTCCAGGCCTGCTGCCCGGCTGGTTCCAGTCTCCTCAGCCTGCCCTTCCTGGCACCGCACACAGCTATTTAGGAGGTGTCCCCCTCCCTGGGGCTGCTTTCAGAGAGGAACAAAGAGGGACTGGAAGGCTGGGGTGGCTGACAAAGGCAGGATGGGGGAGTGGTAGGGCATCTGGAGACACTCATTTGTAAGCCCAGGCTGCTCCCCGAGCTTCAGTGGCTCCCTTTATCTGCTCTGATAATACACCGAGACCATATTCTGCTCTCTGTCGAGCGATCGGTGCCCGGCCTCTGGGAGCCTGCCAGGACGGCAGCAGCCCGCGGTGATGCGGGGCACTGCACCAGCTGCCGGAGGCCTGCCAGCCCTGGGCAGCTGCGGCCAGATGGCTAGCCACCCGCCTGCATGCCGCCCCGCAGCAGGGATGCCCCCTCATCCAGGGGTCCTCGGAGCCGTGGGGCTCTCAGAGAACTGAAGCTTGAACTATGATGGTTCTGGTTCATTCATCTTTGTCTGCCCCGCGCTGAGCACGGTGCCTGGCATCCAGTGGGAGCTTAGGGGTTGCACTTGACGCACTCAGCACCTATTTATCAGGACCTACCATGTGCCCGCCACTGGGTCCTAGCCCTCCGCATCTTTCTGTGTCCTTCTCTAGCACCTATTGGGGATCTTCTGAGGCAGGTAGATGTGGGGCGTCTCTAAAGCAACAGTCCATGAAAAGCTGACCTGAAGCCAGCCCAGGCTGCTGTGTCTCAGGGAGCAAAGGAGGGCAAAGTCCTTCCAGATGCCCCCATAACTCCAATTGTACTCGGGCTTACAGAAAGCACTCACACAGGTGACCCGATTTTGTCTCCCTGATGCTACTCAGCGGGCCGGACATCCGTGCACCGCCGGCTTGCAGGGATGTGGGATTTGCACTCAGATCTTCTGCCTCCAAACGCACAGCTCCCAGCCCAGGCTTCCTCCTGCTGATGGGAGTCTCTGGGTTAAACCCTGAGGTTGTGGCGGGGAGCTGGGAGGAGCTGGGGTTGGGGGCGGTGCTGGGAGGCTGGGAGAAGAGCTGGGGTAGCATGGCTAGAGAGGGGAAGGGAGGGTGGGTGGAGGAGCAAAGGGAGTAGGGTGCAGGGTTGAGCCAGTGAGGTGCCGGTTGGGTTGGGGGTGTGGGCGGGGCGGTGGAGGTGGGGGAATTCTGGACACGGCCCCCAGCCTGGGCCACTGGTTGGAGCAGGGCGGCCAGTGGGAATCCGATGACCTCAGCTCCTCTCTGAGAGGCCATTGCTGCCTCCCTCCCGAGCGGCCAAACAGCACTGGGCAAATTTGGGGACTAATGAGTGTTTTCCAGCAGGCGATTCCTCTATGTGGGGTTTATCTTCCTGGGTCATCATTCTGCCGTCTGCACTTAACAGGGTAATAGCAGCCTGGGTTGGGGCTCCTGCCCATCCGCTGGCCCCAGGGGCCCTGCAAACAGATGGCAGCAGATGAGGGACAGGAAGGCAGGAACAAGCAGGTGCAGCAGGCCCAGCCCCACCCTGCTTCCTTAGCTCAGGTCACAGCTGGTGCTGTTCTCCCCAGCCTCATGTGGTGGCCCCCCTCATGGCCTTCCCTCTCATTTGGCCTCCCAGAACCGGGGACCCTCACAGACACTCGCAGTGCCTCCCGGTCCTTGCTCAAATGTCAGCCCCTGCCCAAGCCCACAGAGACCCCCTCACTAGCCTCTGCGGCCCCTCAGCCACCTTTCTCCTGCAGCATGCTGAGTCCTTTGTCCTCAGGAAGCCCAAAAGGGAGAAGGTGGTGTTGTTGACCTGGCCCTCTCCGCCCCCACCTCCCCCAGTGAGGCACAGTGCTTCCTGGTCATGTGGCCTTCTAAATCCCCATGACCACCCATGTGGTAGGAGTGATTTCCAGATCACGGTTGAAGATGCTGGGGCTCTGGGAGGTGAAATGACTTGTCCAAGATCCCCCAGTGTGGTAGGCAGCATAGTGCACGCCCTCAAAGATCATTGTCCTAATCCTCAAGCCTGTAAGGACTTTGCTGACGTGATGAAGTTAAGGATCTTGAGGTGGGGAGATTATCCGGAATTATCTAGGGGGGCCCCAGGTCCTCACAAGTGTCCTTTAAACGTGAAGAGGGGGGCAGAAGCGCGATGCTATGGGACAGCCTCATCTGGCCACTGCTTTCGTGATGGAGGCTGGGAAAAATGAGGAAATGACTCTTTGTTTAATACCTTCCAAAGGGGTGCAACTCTACTGGCACCTTGATTTTAAGCCCATTGAGACCCGTTTTGGAATTCTGACCTTCAAACTGTAAGATAATGAAATTCCGTTGGTTGGAACGATTAAGTTCATGGCCATGCCATTAGTTACAGCAGTGACAGGAAACCAACATGTCCAACTAAGGGCAGAGCTAGGATCTGAACCCAGGACTCAGCCTCCACTCGGCTCCCTTCCACCATCCACGTCTGATGAGTAAGCTCTGCCCACCGTTCGAGGCTGCCTCTCTGCCCTCCCATGCCCCTATGGGTGTGCATGTCTCCTCACACCTTGTGTGTATGAATGATTGTGCGGCTGTGTAAGTGTGTGAACATGTGTCTCTTGTGCCCCTGTGTGAGTGTATGAATGTGTGAGCGTATCACCTCTATGTGAGTGTGTGAACATGTGCGAGTGCCTACTCACACCTCTGTGTGAGCATGTGCATGTGCAAGTGTGTCCACTCATGTTCCCATATGTGAATGTGAACATATGAGAGTGTGTGTCTGTTTGCACCCCCACATAAATGAGTGAGCATGGAAGTGTGCAGTCGCACCCAGTTGTCCCCGTGTGAGCACGCAGGTGTGGCAGCATGTGTCTATTCACATCCCTTGTAAATGTGCCAGTGTGGAATCACGCCAGTATACCTACTTATGCCCCTCTGTGAGTTTGTGAACGTTTAAGTGTGTAACTACGCAGGTGTGCGGATGTGTGTCTACTCACCCCCATGTGACTGCGTGAGTGTATCTCCTCACTCCTCTGCCTGTGGGTGTGAGCGTGTGTGCGTGCAAGTGTGTGCTCTCCCAGCCCAGCTCCCTGCACCCCGCCAACATTGCCCCAGCCCCGTGACACAGCCACTAATGACTATTTGTCACCGTCTGTGTGGCGGTGGCATCACCTGCACTAATGACAGTCTCTGCTGTCTAATGACCTGGCTTCTGCCCCATCATTTAGGAGCCACGGGAGCTCTCAGCCTGTGGCCAGAGAGATGTTGACGAGCTCAACACATTTCCCACTGGGTGTCAGAGGGGGCGGGGAGGAGCACAGACCCCACCCTCCCCTGCAGCCCTCGGGGTGCCCAGTGTGGGCTGGGAATCCCGGCTGCTGGTGGATGGCATTCCTGGGCGGGCAGCTCCAGGTCTGCGCCCTGCCCTCCGTCTCCGTCTCCGGCAGGGCTGGGCGGCGCCTGCTGCCCCTCCCCCACAAGGTGCCCTGGAACCCCCCAGCCTGGCCTGCATCAGCTCCCATAGACCAGAGCCGGCTTTTCCCTCTTCAAACCCCCAGCCCCTCTTCACTTCTGTAAAGGCAGATGGCCGCTGAGCGGGCCCCGCTGCACCCAAGAGGCTCTGCTCTGGGGCCTCCCCTGGACAGTGAGGGTGTCTGGATGGCCCCGGAGTTCACAGGGTCCAGGGCAAACCACCCCGTGTGGCGTCCCAGCACCGAAGCCTCGTTTTACTGACCCCACTGATCCGTCTCTTAGGATTGAAATGAAACTCAATAGCCTTTGGGACTGGATGGGGGAGCTGGGGAGGGGCTGCTGGTGGCTTTCTGTGAGCCTGCAGCCTGTTCCTTCATACTCTCTGTGAGCTTTGAGCCTGCTCCATCCTCTATGGTTCCCACCAGGTCTATCTCCTCCCGCTATAAGTTTATCTAGATAAGCAGATGAGCTTAGTACTCTGCCGGGCTCAGTGGGGACTCACTGAAGGTTTTCCAGGTTAATGAAGGCACCCCCTCAACTGGCTATGTGACCTTGAGGTGACTTGCATCGCGGTCCTCTGCAAAATGGGGATGTGACAGTGCCTGCTTCAGGCGGCTTTACGAATACCAACTCCAGTCTTTACTATCCTCTTCAAGTGTTCTTATTGTGCCCATTTAATAGATGGGGGAACTAAGGTCCAGAGCACGTAAATAATGCCTGGCTCCAGAAGCCAGGAAGAGGGAACTCTGAAGAGTTTGCAGCGCTCCAGAGGGAGAAGCTTCCCTTGAGGAAAAGCTGACGTCCGCCACGTACTCCACAGAGATTCCTGCCCCGATACCACCTTGTCTGGGGCCTCTCTGGCAACCAAGGCAAGAACTCGGACGTGCGGAGAAGCTGCTTATTTTTGAGAATTTCGTTGGCGAGATTGCTTGATTATCAAGAGGAAAAAATTGTAGGAAGATAGATGTGCCTTAGATTCCAGAGTCTTCCTTGGCACTTTTAAGGGCAGGGACTAATATCCCAGCAAAATGGGCTTAATTAACAGAGAGAAGGACTCACCGCTAGTGATGACAGTGGAATATGAAGCTTTATGAGGACATTTGCAAAGCAACACATAAACCAAGGGCAACTGAATACAGGGAAAACTCTGGATCTCAGTGGCAAGGGGACGCGGAATAAGCGGTGGTCAGAGCTGGGTGGGGTTGGCTGGAGAAAGCTTCCTAGAGAGGGGTGGGGTGTGTGTGCGGACCAGGCTGGGGAGGGACAGGCTTTCCTTGGGGTGCGGGCAGGCAGGGGGAGCAGCACACACCTCACACCCCAGCAGCAGCTGCAGCATTCTGGAACCAGCCAGTTCCTAGGAGCTGTGCCCAAGAACCTTGGCTCATGACCTGCTCCCCTGGGAAATCTGCCCTGACTCCTGGGTGGGGATCGTCCAGCTACACGCCTGCCCGGTCCACTTGGTGCCACTTGGAAATGATATGGGAAGATGGGGTGGCCTCGAGCCAGGTCCTCTCTCCAGGAGTTTGGCCCAGTTTGGCCTGCAGTCCACCCAGATATCTTCTTTTGGGATGTCTGGGGAGAGAGATGCGGGAGGAGTGTGGAGCCTCTAGGGAGGCTGACAGGGATTCTGAGAAGCGCAGCAGCTGCTAATCAGGCCTGCTGCCTCCTTCTCAAGGGGTCAGGGGGCTAGTGGGAAGCCAGCAGACCCACAGTCAACCTGTCTCCACGCTCAGCTGCTTCAGGGCTGGGCCTGGGCCTGGGGCAGTGGAGAGAAACCCCAGGTTCACAGAGCTCTGGAGCGGGAGGCGTCCGTCTGCTTCCTTTACAGAGAGGGACCTGGAGGGCAGGGGGTGGGGAGGGGAGGATGGACTGCGTGTGGGGGTGGGGAATAAGGACCGAGCCAGGTTTGAGGAAGAGCACCGCTCTGTGGTTTTCGGGGCTTCCCTGGGGTTGGATAGGAGCTCCCTGGTGGGGAGAGGGAGGATTTGTAGGGAGCCTGGCTGAGACGGAAGTGAGGTGGGGAGCGGAAAGAGCACCTCGAGCGAGAGAGTTCTGGGCCCAGGCTGAGGGCTTCACCTTTGAATGGAGAGGCAGATGGAGCCCTGGAGGGTCCAGGGCCCTGATGACTCTTCACCCCTGGGAGCAGGAGGGCCGAGGCTGAGCTCAGCACCGGGTCTCCCCAGGCTGCATTTGGCAAAGCTGCAGCCTATCCAACCAGGGCGGGATGGAGGCATCTCTTGACCCCAGCCGTGGATTTTGTGGATCTCGTGGTGGCTGGAGGGGAGCTCTGGGGAGGCACATTCGGGGTGGGCTGGGAAAAGAGTGGCCGAGGATCAAGACACGGGAGAACGTGGGGACTGAGGTTGACTCTTGCTCTGTGTTCACCTCCAGGGATGCCCCGAAACTGGGACAGAGGCATCTATTTGGGGCTGCATGGTCCCTTTATAAACCGGCATTTAGATACGTGCCTGCAGCAGCCTCAGGAATGACAGGATTTGGCCATCCGTCTCCCACCCAACAAACTCCGAGATTTAAAACAGTGGCATCCTGCCTGAGGCCAGCAGTTTGGAGCAGAGAGGAGCTGAATGAGATGCCAAAGGAGAGACTGACCGTTGGGGAAGAAGAGGGAGCCTCTCCTCCCCTTATCCATTGTCCCTGGGGATTGGGCAGCGGGTGGGCCCTTGGGAGGAGGAGCCCGGAGGGTCACTGGCCAAAGGCGGCACACGGAGGCCAGAGGGACCTTGCATCTGCGCCCTCTGGGGACAGCTCTGTTGTTGTCCCTCGCAGACTTCCCGCCTTCTTGTCCTTGGGCTCTGTGCCCGGGCCCTGCCATCAGCACCTGCTCCCTGAGCCAGGCCCTGGCAAGCACAGCCATGAGATCATGGGGTGGGGTAAGTTGGCAGGTTTCTCATCTTCACTGGAGCCGTGGCAGGTGCATGGCGGAGCCCTGGGCCCGGCGCCTCTGTAATCTCCCTCCTGGCCCCATCCCCTTCCAGGGAGGAGGCTTCTCCAAGCAGCCAGCGTCGTCTGGTCCGCCTCAGTCCACAGATTCTAACACAAGTGGAACACTGGCTTGTGCCATGTCATGAAGGCTTGAGATTAGACTTCAAGAAGGACTTCCCATTCAAGAGATGGGCAAGTGGGACAAAGGAAGGAAGAGTTCCAATTAAGGATACATGCCAATAATAAGGGTAACACTCTTCATCGAAGGCTTATTCTGTGCTTACCTGGGGCTCTGTGCTAAGCACTTTGCAGGCAGTTACATAGTCTTCACCATGACATTGTAGAACATGGAAACTCAGACTAAAGTTTCACAGCCAGTACATGGGGGAGCTGGTACTTGTACCCGAGTCTCCAGCTTTTTTTTAAGATTTTATTTATTTATTTGACAGAGAGAGAGAGAGACAGCGAGAGAGGGAACACAAGCAGGGGGAGTGGGAGAGGGAGAAGCAGGCCTCCCGCAGAGCAGGGAGCCCGATGCGGGGCTCGATCCCAGCACCTGGGATCAGGGCTTAAGCGGGAGGCAGACGCTAACGACTGAGCCACCCAGGCGCCCCCGGGCCCATCTTTTAAGCTAAATTTGCTTCTTTTTATCAGGGAGATTTTTAACTAAAATGAGTCTCCAGCTTTTTGATCCATCATGAGGATCCAGTGAGTTGGGCTCCCAAGTGCTCACTCATTCCTTCACTGAGCGTTCAGTGGTGAATAAGACAGGGTTCTTGAGGGCAAGAGTTGGAGGTCAAACAGGCAGGAAAGATAAGAGATGAGTTCACATTCCAGACAGTGGGAGTCAGCCACGCAGAGGCGGGTGGGCCTGTTTCTGTTTGGCACTTCTTGAGGCAGAAAGGAAGCATCACATCAGAACTGCAGCAAGGGGGAGCAAGGTGGGGCAGCAAGACCTTCTGACTTCAGGGCCATGTCACTGGCCCACGACAGGCATGTCCTCTGGAGGGCGAGAGAGATTTGATGGGCTCCGTTTGGAGGTGGGGAGATGGGTGACCTGATTCGGGGGTCTTATTGCAGATGCGTGTGTGTATGCATGTGTGCACATGTCCACAGTCTCTAGTGAAGCACTTTCTGCCCCGGCTGACTCTGAGCCCCGCAGTGGCATCTGTGTTGTGTCGCAGACACCAAGGGAGGGCGGTTTGGAATGTAGTCTCTATTTGGGAGCAGTGCTGTCTTAATGGGGGACCATTTTTGTTCCCCAAACATCCTCCAACTTGGCAGACCACTATTCTAGTCCTGACACCCCCACCTTTACTCCCAGAAAGTTTTCTCTGCCCCTTCTCCAAAGACGCCCACTTCCTTCCCCTTTCCCCTATACCTACACCATAGACTTGTGGGAAGGATTAAGGAGGAACTGGGCTGAGGCTTGTAGCTACTGGTGGGCGTAGCCCATTCCTTCCCCATGAGCCCACAATTCCACCTTGACTCATTCACCACTCTGTTTCAGGACTGGACCCACTGTGGTGAGCCCAAACATACTTCTAGCATGGATGCGTGGCAAAAAGGGACCCCTGGACCCCTCCTGGTGTGTATGGGGCCAACCCCCAGCTGTGTCCCGTCAGGTGCCATGTTGGCTGCTTGTGCCTGCCTGCTCTTGGAACCCAAGTCTGTGCCCCACATCAATGAGTCTGGAGTTAGACCTTGGGTTTTAAGTTCCAGTAGCAATATACACAGTCAAAATCCTAGGATGTCGGGGCCTGGTGGGACTCCAGAGACCACCAGGGCTCATTAGTCCTTCATTTACAGAGAGGGCATCCCCCAGAGAGGGAAGGGCCTCTTCCAACGTCACATAGTAATCCTCGGGACACATTAAGTCTCTTGGCCCCCATGCCACAGCGCCTTCCCCCATGTCACACTGCCTCCCTAATTTTTTAAAAGATTTTATTTATTTGTCAGAGAAAGAGAGAGAGAGAGCACAAGCAGGGGGAGCGGCAGGCAGAGGGAGAAGCAGGCTCCCCGCCGAGCAGGGAGCCCGATGCGGGGCTCGATCCCAGGACCCTGGGATCAGGACCTGAACCGAAGGCAGATGCTTAACTGACTGAGCCACCCAAGTGACTGCCTCCCTAATTTTGACACACCTTCCTCACCCTCTCTTTTTTCTCTTGTCTCTGTACTTTTCTTACCCTTTTCTCTCTCAAGTTAGCCCATCTGAATCCTGCCATCCTTCAAAGTTTAGCCAGGCGCCCTGCGCTCTGGAATTCACTGAATCTCTCTCTTCTACTTTCTTTGGCAACACGAGCAGCACATCCTGCTACTTCCCATCCTTTAATTGTCTGTGACACAAATTAATGCTTTATTACTTGATGCTCTAATGACCTGGGTTTTAACCAACTGTGTGACCTTGGGCTAGGTACTTCAAATTCTTAATCCTCTGTTTTCTCGTCTGTAAAATGGGACAGGCATTTGAGCCTGAGTGAACAGCAGAAGCAAGCTCAGGGGGCCCGACTTGGAGAACGTCAAGAGTGAAATCTGAGGTGTGGTGGGTATGGGCAGGGGTGAAGGCGGGAAGGCAAACAGGGGCTGGGTTGTGGGGCACCTCAGCCGGGACACGTTCTGCTATTGGCAGTGAGGAGTCCTTGAGGCTTTTTTGGAAACCCCCCACCTCGGGTTTGGGGTGGCCATAAAACGGGGTCAGAAGGGCACCTAGGCTTTGGAGTTGGCAGATCTGGATTTGAATTTCAGTTCTCCCACTCTGTGATGCCTCACAGATTCCTAGCTCTCCCTGAGCTTCCTTTTCCAGTCTACAAAAATAAGGCTTATACCTACAGCATAGACTTGTGGGAAGGATTAAGTGTGAAAACATCTATAAATTGCTTAGCTTGGAGTCTTATACTTAGTAAGTGCTTAATGAGGAGTAGCCATTAGAACTGTGGGCTGTCATCATCCAAATGTCATGTCCGCCTGCATCTTGGCCTGGTGTTGTCCCTGGGTCTGTCTGGGCCCAGGGTGACAGGCTCATTCCTCACTTTGGAAGCTTCCCAAGGGCAGGGCCCGCTCGCTTCATTTCCCTGCTCCAGCAGGAAGTGAAGGAAGGCAGAGCTCTTGAGAAGAAGATGATGTTACCCTTCGGGGCCCCTAGGGGGCTCTGCAGAGGCCCAGAGACCTGCAGCCAGGTGGTGGAAGGGGAGGCTCAGGCCCCTTTGGCCACCCACTGTAGGGTCCCAGGGGATTAAGGTACACAGGGAGCTTGGTGTTGACAAGGTGTGCCCCCAACTTTCTCGCTGGACTGTCGAGGCAGCTCTCCCGGGTATAGGGCTCGGGGCCTCAGGCACTGCAGTGGGCCTGCACCACTTGTGAAGCCTGTGAGGAGGGGAGGGCTCGGTGCCCAGAGAGGGAGCATGGGGTGGGGGGCTGAGGCGAGACTGACTGCCAGCTACCCTACCCCCTGAGCATCTTCTTGGTCTGCACTGGCGGAGAGGGGAGCCAGACACACCATCACTGGAATAGAGTCTAACCATTATTAGACAGTATTTATAAAACACCTACTAGGTGCTGAGTGGTGTGCCAGGTGCTGAGGATAGTCACTGGGCAAAGATTGAGGAGTCCCACCTGCCTAGAGGGGGATTCGGACAAGGCATTCGGAGGGCTCTAGGAGCTCTGAGGGCTGCCCTTGAACCGCCCAGGATGGTGGTCAGGAGTGAGGTGTAGCCGAGCTCTGAAGACTGAGCCAGGGGCCTGAGAGCAGTTGTGTGGCTGGAGGGCACTGGGGGTGTTGGGCGAGGAGTGGGTGCAGATAAGGCCAGAAAATTACGCGGGATATTACATAAAATACATACGCCGAGGAGTGTGCACTAGGTCTCAAGGGGAGGTGGGAGCCATTGAAAGCTTTTTAGGTAGGGCAGAGATGTGGTCAGACACAAGGGCTGCCGCGCTTTGGGACTGGGGAAAGATGGGGTGGTCATGGAGGAGGGAGTGCTGAGGGGGGTGGGGTGCTCCGGGGGAGGGGGGAGTGGGGTGATTATGGAGTGGGTTTGAATCTGAAATGGGGAGCTGAGGTGGGCCTGCCCAGGTGGGAGGCATGGGTGGGGTAGGACTCCCCTGGAAGGGGGTCTGGAGCCCAGGCAGGTGTGTAGGTGGGATGGGGCAGGGGCTGAGTCAGGCTCTGATGGAGGGGAGGGCTGAGGCAGGGGGCAGAACAGGAGGAAGGGTCAGCCAGCGTCCTGACCGTGGCCTTGGCTACACCACCTCTTCGCTGTAGGCCTCAAAGGCTGGTCTGCTCCACAGGGCTTTAGATCAGACGTGCTGCTTCTCAGGGCCTCGGTGTTCTCATCTGAGAGATGGGGAGTGCAACACCTTTCTCCCTGCCGCCTGGAGTATCCAATTAAGAACACTGTTTCTCCACCTGGGCCTGGTTCCAGGGTACAGAAAGGGGGAGGGGCAGAGCCTGTGGCCATACGGTTCCCCATTAGCCACAGAATGGCTCAAGGCGGGCTCTGGGCACGATGACTGAGCTCTTGGAGTGCTCTGGGAGGGGCTGGAGGACAGGGGTTCTGGGGAAGCGTGTAGGGTGAAGAGCAGTGAACACGGTCCCGGCCAAGGCCTTCTTCTCTCCTCTGGGACCTGAGCTGCTCTCTCGTTACCCAGGCCCCCAGGGCTGGGAGGGCAGGGAAGATGGGGTGATGGTTTAGGCATGAAAAAGTGAGGAGCCTGGCCTCGCCTAGCTCCGAAAGTCTCCAAATCTTTGCATTTTTCTGCTTGTCTTCTGACTCTACAGAACTGGGAATAGGAGGGAAAAGGGCCCACCTGCGGCGGGGCAGGGGTGGGTTCGGGCAATAAGAACTTCCGCTTCACCTCAGGGGTCCCAGCTTTCTCTGTGCGCCGGGGGAGCAGCTGAGGGAGTGGGGTCGAGAGATGCTCTGGCCCAGCGCTCCGGCCCCCCTCCTGGGGCCTTCGGCCGTTGTCCTCCTGTGGGCAGGCCAAGGTGCTGAGGCAGCGTGCAGCCCCCGGGGCACAGTGGCCAGTGGGGCAAGGTGGAGGGTGGTCTAGTCTGTCTAGCCCAGGAGAGGGGAGAGGGAGGACCCCCACGAGGTCTCCTGGTTCTGGAAAAGGCACTCTCTCAGGCTCCTTGCGCCGCCT